TATATATAACATATATATTATATATATTATATACATATATAAAATGGATTTTCATGCTTTGAGTAATCTAGTTTTCATGTATTTTCTTTTATTTTGAGACTGGGTCTCACTGTGTTGCCCAGGCTGGAGCACAGTGGCATGATCTTAGCTCACTGCAACTTCCACCCTCAGGCTCAAACCACCTTCCTACCTCAGGCTCCCCAGTAGCTGGAACCAGAGGTGCCTGCCACCATGCCTGGCTGATTTTTTTGTTTTTGTTTTTGAGATGGAGTCTCTGTTCCCCAGGCTAGAGTGCAGTGGCACAATTTTGGATCATTGCAACCTCTGCCTCCCAGGATCAAGCAATTCTGCTGTGTCAGCCTCCCAGGGAGCTGGGATAACAGGCATGTGCCACTGTGCCCAGCCAGATACTAGTTTCTGATCTTTCATTGTGAATGTTGTCATCTCTGAAGACATCATTCATACTCTGTCTCATCTAGATACTGAATCTCACTTGGCGTGTCAATAAAAGTTTCTTGGCCGGGCACGGTGGATCACGCCTGTAATTCCAGCACTTTGAGAGGCTGAGTCAGGTGGATCACGAGGTCAGGGATTTGAGGCCAACCTGGCCAATGTGGTGAAACCCCATTTCTGCTAAAAATACAAAAGTTAACTGGTCGTGGTGGCATGTGCCTGTAATTTCAGCTACTCAGGAGGCTAAGGCAGGAGAATCGTTTGATCCTGGGAGGTGGAGGTTGCAGTGAGAGGAGACTGCACCATTGCACTCCAGCCTGAGTGACAGACCGAGACTCCACCTCAAAAAAAAAATAAAAGTTTAGTAAAACACAACTGGGAGGACAAAGTGTGGTGAGAAATCCCTTACTCAGATTTTTTAGAATATTCACTGCATTTAAATCCATGCTTTCACCTTTCTTTCTTCTCATTTTCTGTAAAGATAAGAATTCCGCCCATAACCATTTGGTTAAAATTTGTTTTCCCTTCAGGGTCTATTGACATTCAGGGACGTGGCCATAGAATTCTCTCAGGAGGAGTGGAAATGCCTGGACCCTGCTCAGAGGACTCTGTACAGGGACGTGATGGTGGAGAATTATAGGAACCTGGTCTCCCTGGGTGAGGATAATTTCCTTCCAGAAGTGGGGATGTCCCCTTGCGTATCTTTGTGTTTTGTCTTTTTTTTAGATACAAAGTCTTGCTCTGTCCCCCCAGGGTGGAGTGAAGTGGTGGGATCATAGCTCACTGCAATCTTGAATTCCTGGGCTCAGGTAATTGTCCCACCTCAGCCTCCACCAGTAGCTGATACAGGTGTATGCCACCATGTTGGGCAAATTTTTAGTTTTTTTTTTCCAGACGGGGTCTTCCTGTGTTGTTGAAATCTGTCTTGATCTCCTGAGCTCAAGAAATCCTCCTCAGTCTCCCGAGTAGCTGGGATTACAGTCGCCAACCCCCATACCTAATTATTGGCTTTTATTTTTAAGATTTTTGCATATGTGCAGCCGGGTGTGGTCTCAGCACTTTGGGAGGCCGAGGTGGGCGGATCACGAGGTCAGGAGATCAAGACCAGCTTGGCCAACACGGTAAAACCTGGTCTCTACTAAAAATACAAAAATTAGCCGTGTGTGGTGGCACTGGCCTGTAATGCCAGCTACTTAGGAGGCTGAGGGAGGAGAATTGCATGAACCTAGGAATCAGTTTGCAGTGAGCCAAGATCGCCAGTGCACTGCAGCCTGGCGACAAGTGAGACTCCGTCTCAAAAAACTAAATAAAATAAAATAAAATATTTGCATATGTGTGTCCTTAAGGCTAATATGAGTCTATGAGTTTCTTGTAGACAACACATAGTTGGTTCCTGTTCATTGAGCCAGACTTTGCCTTCTGAGTGCAGAGTGAAATACTTACAGCTGAAGTATTACTGATGGAGAAGACCTTACCTTTGTGATTTTGTTACATATTATCTGTATTTCTTGTACGTTTTTTTGGTTCTTCATTTCTCATTTCCTACTTTTTGTGTTTAATTGCTTTTTTGTGTAGACTTGCTTTGACTCCCTTCTTATTTCCTTTTTGTTTGTTTATTTATGATGGAGTCTCACTCTGTCACCAAGGCTACAGTTCAGCGGTATGGTCTTGGCTCACCACAGTGAGCTCTGCCTCTCGGGCTCAAACGATCCTTGTGCCCCATTGGCTCACCCCTATAATCCCAGCACTTTGGGAGGCCGAGACGGGCGGATCAC